TGCTAAGATTTTGCTGAGACTTGATGGTTTTTATTTTACACTAGAGGCCTGGTGCACAGATTGGTGCACCAGTGAGGTCCCTCGGCCTGGCCTGTGGAATCGGGCCGAAACCAGCTCTCCGACATCCCCCAAGGGTTCCTGGATTGCGAGAGGGCGCAGGCCAGGTCAAGGGACCCCACGGGTGCATGATTGGGGCCAGGGAGGGACCATGGGAGGGCTCCAGGGTGTGTCCGGCCCATCTTGCTCAGTCCCAATCTGCCGGACCCCAGCAGCAAGCTAACCTACCGGTTGGAGATCTGCCCCCTGGTAGTCAGTGCACGTCATAGTGAGCGGTTGAGTGGCCTTAGCATATTATTAGCATATTATGCTTTGATTGGTTGAACGGACAACTGGACACTTAGCATATTATATCGGACTAGAGGCCTGTTGCAGGAAGATTCCTGCAAGAATAGGGCTTCCTGAGGCCGGAGTGAAGCAGAGAAGGCTGCCTCGTTCCCTCCCGTCTCCGCCGCCTCGGCTCCCTCCCTTCTCCGCTGCCTCGTTCCCTCCCTTCTCTGCTGCCTTGGCTCCCTCCCTTCTCCACCACCTCGCTCCCTCCCGTCTCTGCCGCCTCAGCTCTGTTCCCTTCTCTGCCGCTTTGCTCCCTTCTGCAGTGCTTGGCTTCCTTCTACACTCCGCGCCTGTATATGTAAATTAACCGCCATCTTTGTTGGGTTAATTTGCATATCGCTCTGATTGGCTGGTGGGCATAGCGGAGGGACAGTCAATTTGCATGTTTCTCTTATTAGTGTAGATAGGATAGGATGGTTTTACCTTTTTATTGTGAGTTAAAATAATTGTGAGTTTAACTTTAAAATGAAATAATTCCTCTGAGTGAATATTTTTCTTCAATATTCAAATTTTCTTCTCTAAGAAACAATTGTATTAATTTAAAATTATATAAATTAGGATTTTTATTAAAGTGATGTCATGTGTTTTTAAGTTAGGACACTTAAACAAGTCCATTGGGATATTAGAGTAACCAGCTTAACTTTGTATATCTATTTCTGTGATATTTTGTATTTTTGTCCTTTTTTGGGTGGTTTAAGTCTGCTTCAAGCTGGTATATTTAGGTAGCTTTTTTTTTTTTTTTTTTAATCCTCACCTGAGGATATTTGATTTTTGGAGAGAGTGGAAGAGAGAGGGGAAGACAGAGAGAGATATTGATGTGAGAGAAATACATTGATTGGTTGCCTCCTGCAAGCACCCTGACAGGGCAGGGGAGGAGCCTACAACCAAGGTATGTTCCCCTTGACCGGAATCAAAACCGGGACCCTTTGGTCAGTAGGCTGACACTCTACCCACTGAGCCAAATCAACTATGGCTATATAGGTGGCTTTACAACAAATACTCATTATCTCTTTTTTAAAATATATTTTTTATTGATTTCAGAGAGAGAAAGAGGGAGAGAGAGATAGAAACATCAATGAAAGAGAAACATGGATTGGCTGCCTCCTACATGCCCTCTGCTGGGGATCAAACCTGCAACCCAAGCATGTGCACTGACTGGGAATCGAATCTATGACCTCTTGGTTCCTGGGTTGATGCTCAACCACTTAGCCACCACACCAGTGGGTTATCTTGGTAGTTTTTGATGTGCATGTGTCTGTAAACATTCTCTTTAAAATTACCGAGGCATAAAATGAAATTATAGTAGTGAATTTCTAATTAAGAAAGATTCCAACCTTGTTATGGTGATAATGACAGGACAACAATGAACATTTAAGGACTAAATTTGTATTGTTTATGCTTTGACATCTGTCTTAGAAGAATATTGTCCGTATAAAGATGTTAGAACTGTTTATTGAAAAGAACTTGTGTAAACTTTAGGAAATTTTAAAGCTTAGTCTAGAGAAGCACTTTCTATTTCCCTAGCTCTATTTCAGAAATAGTCATTTCTATTAGATAAGATTATATAATGGTTTTTAAATCCTATTCTCCTTTTAATACTAGTTTAGCATTTCAGCCAGTTTTTAGCATAACCAGTTTTTTCTTATTCCTGTAGCTTCTCTAAAAGGATAAATTAGATTAATAAAGACTTACTCTGATAACATTTTAAAGAACAACTTGTGTAAATTTTTCTCTAATATATAAAATATAGACATGCAGATGTGATATTTATTTTTATTTTATCGGTTTAGAATAGCCTTTCTCAGTGAGCTTAATCTGTAATGCACTAAAGCAGTATTTCTGAAAGATTATTGTACTTCAGAATCACTTGGAGTACCTGTTAAACCATCCTAGAGTTTCTAATTCAGTAGGTCTAGGATAAGGCTGAGAATTTTCATTTCTTACAAGTTCCCAAGTGCTACCGATGCTACTAGTTGGTAAAGCATACTTTGGTATGCTCACTGCCTTAAGACATCATCCATTCTTGGTAATAAATTAGTCTTCTAAACATCTAGGATGGTATTATTTATATATTATCCTGGGGAAATTGAGAAAACAGTCACTTAGTAATTTTCTCTTTGTCTGGTTGAAATGAGGACCTCTAACTGAAAAGAAGTATTTTAGAATGATATAATTAGTGTGGTGAAAATGGGCATATTGTTTAATATCTTCAGGATCTTAAGTATTTCACTGTTATGCTTACATTTATAAACATTTCTGTATTTTTAACAGAAATGCTATGAATCCTTGCTCATTAGGTAGATATCATTTTCTAGATACATATTTGCTTTATAAATACATTTAGAAGCAAATGAATTAAGTCAACGGTCACCAACCGGTGGTTCGTGGACCACTGGTGGTCCGTGAGGTCTGAAAGGTTGGTAACCACTGAATTAAGTGATATATTTTAAGCAAAAACTTGCTCTATTTCAGAATGCTAAGGAATCTTTTCAGACTTTTTTTTTTAACCCTCACCCGAGGATATGTTTCCAATTGATTTTTTAAAAAAATAACTATTTTGTAATTTTTCTATTTACTTTTTGTTGTTGTTGTTGTTAATCCTCACCCAAGGATTTTTTTTTTTTCATTGACTTTTAGAGAGAGTGGAAGGGAGGGGGAGAGACAGAGAGAAACATGTTAGAGAGACAACATTGATTGGTTGCCTCCCACACTTGTCCCAACGAGGGCCAGGGATCAAGCCTGCAACCCCAAGTTACGTACCCTTGACCAGAATCACAGCCAAATTGGCTAGGGCAGGGGTAGGCAACCTTTTTGTGAGTGCGTGCCAAAACCAGCAAAATCTCTGACTCAAAATTCTTCTGCGTGCCAACCCTAATTTTTTGAGAACATGTTATGCCTACTTCATATCTCTTAAGGTGTATGTATGTGGAAAACCTTGAAGAAATAATAAAATTCATTTGAGCGACAAAAACACAGTATATGATGATGAAAAATACATTTATTTTTTAATGTATACATGTACACTGATAGTCCGACAGAAAACTTTATGACTCTGTTTGATATTATCAGTGGGACTTTTGCTGCTGCATCACTGATGACAGAGATTTTATATCAGGTTTATATTTCGTGACCTTCAGAGATATGCACGAGCTACTACTTTCATCCATCAGGCTACTCCTATAACGAGACTTAACAAAATTCATCACTGAGAACAAAGATTCACAAGCGTATGTAGATGAAACCAAAACACTGGTCGGATCTAGGAAGGCAGAGAGAGTTAAGGCAGAGGCATAGAAATTGCTCTTCCCCTCTCTCGTCAATCCATTTCTATGGTCTTTAAGATAACTTGTTACGTAAAATTATTTATTTATCTAAGATGCACCTACACTGAATTTATCTGAAAAATAAAAAAGTCGATATTAAGAAAAAATTGTAAATGGAAGATTATAAGAGAGGGTTTCACGTGCCAGCCAAAGTTACTGGCGTGCCATGTTTGGCACGCGTGCCAGGGGTTGCCCATCTCTGGGTCAGGGCTTCCATTGATTTTTAAAGAGAGAGGAAAGGAGTCATGGAGGGATAGAGAGAGATTGATTGCCTCCTGCATGCGCCCTGGCCCTGACCTGGAGATCTTGGATCTGAGGGCCATGGTTTTAACCACTGACTCAAACAGGCCAGGGCTTTAATTTTTCTTTTTAATATTTATTTTTTATTGATTTCATAGAGAAAGGAAGAGGGGGAGAGAGAGATAGAAACATCAGTGATGAGAGATAATCATTGATCATCTGCCTCCTGCATGTCCCCTATTGGGGATCAGTCCCACAAACCTGGGCATGTGCCCTGACCAAAAATCAAACTGTGGCCACCTGGTTCATAGGTCGATGCTCAACCACTGAGCCACACTGACTGGGCGAGGTTTTCTTATGTGCTTGATGATGTCTTACTTGTTTTTAGAGTGCCGTTGAAACTAAGTTCCGCATATTAGTATATCACTTTATTTTTACTTTATGTCTAGAGAAATGGGTAGGAAATGAGTCAGTGGATACAGCTTACCTGAAGATATCAGTAATAAGAAAAAAAACAAAGCCAGTTCAAGACAGTTTGAATTGTCTTAAGAAATAGAATGACTCATAGAGAGAGAGAAACTTCAATGCAAGAAACATCAGTCAGCCCTAGCCGGTTTGGCTCAGTGGATAGAGCATCAGCCTATGGACCGAAGGGTCCCGAGTTCGATTTTGGTCAAGGGCACCTACCTCAATTGCAGGCTCCTCCCTGGCCAGGCCCTATTCAGGGCGTGTGCAAGGCATGTATTTCTTTCACATCGATATATCTATCTTTCCCTTTCTCTTCCACTCTCTAAAAAACAATGGAAAAATATCCTCGGGTGAATATTAAAAACAAAAAGAAAGAAATAGAAAGACTCGGTCATTGTAAAGAAGAAAAAAATACGGTACACAAATATGTAATTATAAATTCTATTACTTAATTATATAATTAAGATAAAGCCTGGTTTACTTTTCACTGCAGTAGTTATCTTTTATTCAGAAAACATCCACTTTGCTTTTGTCATGTGGAGCATTCTTAACTTGATCTTTTCCTGTTTTTAATTTTAGGGCAGCAGCAATGACTCTCCGCACGGTATTATTGTCATTACAAGCACTGTTGGCAGCTGCAGAACCAGATGATCCACAGGATGCAGTAGTAGCAAATCAGGTAAGATAGCTGCTTCTTTTGAAAGACACTTACATATTTACCTTTTAGTCTCTACATTAGTGGTTTTCATTGTTAACATATGAACATACTTCTATCAAACCTAAATTTGGAAATGGTTTCCTTTCTTGCAATAAGGTTATTTTGTCAGATATAATAGTGAAAAGTTAATGTCTTCTTTTATTAATCTGAAAAGGTAATTTCTTGATTTTTAATATATTAACTTAATTGGGTATATGGTAGATTTTTTAACATATTATAAAAATTTTCTTTCTTTTTTTTATTTTTATTTTTTTTAATTAATAAATCTTTTATTGTTCAGATTATTACAGATAAAAATTTTCAAACAAATAATGTTAAAAGAATTAGAGTGGTCCCAACTGGTTTGGCTCAGTGGTTAGAGCATTGGCCTGCGG